AACCCACCATCTATGATGTTGTGTTATGTCAAGTACTTTGATTTTAAATACTTTTTATGACTTTTCAAGAGATTGCAACAATCAGGATATGATTGAAGCAGGTTGGGATTATAATCCTGAAGAAGTGGATACACGGTTGGTTAAGTTGGAATTAAATTATCTCGGGATAACTAATGATCAAGATGAGTACTTGCATACAAAGTCCAATACCCAGGAAAGAATACCAGAATATGAAGGGAATCGGAGCCGAAGTGCCTAAACCTCAAGTTAGGTTAAAGTGGCACTTGCTTATTGGATCATGAGACATCACATGATGACAATGCCATTGTAGAAGTTGGGCTTTAATCTGTTTTACATAGGGCTTTGTAAACGAACTGAATGTTCGACGGGAAGTTCGTTTATATTGTTTATTTAATAAATGAACGAACATGAACGAAAATTCTCGTTCGTTTAGTTAAACGAATGGACATGAAGAATAGTCTCGTTCATTCATTTATGTTCGTGAACGTTTATTTATGTTGTTCGTTTACGTTCGTTTATGTTCGTTCGTGTATGTTCATTCTTTTAAGCTTATTTATATTCATTTATGTTCAATTTTTTTTATTAAATTACTATATTATATGTTTGTTTATGTTCATATTTGTTCAATTATGTTTGTTTATCTTTGTTCGTTTGTTTTTGTTCGTTTAGCATGTTCACGAACATGAACAATGTAAGTTGTTAAACGAACGAACATGAACAATAAAACTCGTCATTTATCCGTTCATATTGTTTGTTTGTTCGGCTAACTTAAATGAACTAACATGAACAATCATTTGTGCGTGTTCATTTGGTTCGTTTGCAAGCCTAGTTTTATGGCATTTTAATTAGGAAAATTGGTTGTCACACCCCTGGCCGGCAGCGGAAACGTCGGACTGTGCGATGTTTTTAGATCGTGTTGGGGGTAGTTCCTAAGCATGCCTTTATACCTCTCTCACGCTTCAAACAAAGACTCACCATCGTATTGTTGGAAATTTGCTATCTTCTTTTTGAGCTTGGATATTTTTGATGGTGGACTAAACTGCTCGATGAAAGCTTCGCGTAGATTCGTTCAAGTAGTAATTGTTCCAGGTGCAAGGTATTTTAGCCAAAATTTTGCATCTCCCGTGAAAGTTACTGGGAGCATTCTGATCAAAACTGCTTCTCGCGAGACATTTGGAACATTGAAATAATTGGAAATGTCCTTGACCTCTTCGATGTGATTAAACGCGTCTTCCTAATCTTTTCTGGAAAATGGAATGTCCTTGAGCATCCCTAAAATGTGGCCCTTGAGCTCAAATTTGGTTTCAGCAGGAATTTCTAGTGGAGCAAATCCTGATCCTAGATTATTGCGCACTCGCTTCCTGTATGCTCCCATTGTCATTCGTGTGATAACCTTCATCTTGAAAAAGAACCGCAATAAATAGAAAACCACGCATAAAAAAGAAAACTTTGATGGTCACAAATTCATAAGATTCAAGTTTATCAAATAAGAATGATCATCCAATTCAAAAAAACTCAGCAATAAGCAGAAGAAGTAGGTGTCATTGACACAAAAAGATCTTTAACAATCTATCATAACAAATAAGCAACTAGCAACACTCCCAAAATCCAATAAATCAACACATAGTCATAATGATCATCTAATCTAAACAGAAGTTAGGGTTTTTAATCCATGATTTCTGGAAACAAACACTTAAAAACGAAGTTCACCATGAAAATTATAATGAAGAACAAAGTAAATAAGTTTTTAGAAGTATTATTGCCTCAAATCTCTTCAAAAGCTAAACTTCAATCGAAAGTTGAGATTCCTTTGTGTTCCAACACTTCTATGGTCTTGAAAAGTCGAATATAACTCAGAGCATTCCTTAGGGTTGAGAGAATAATCGTCCTATTTATAAATCCTGAATCTGGCCCACCACGTCGTGGTTGACCGCCACCACGACGTGGTCTTCATTAAAAACATGTAATCACCAATTCACTATTCAATCAGGATTTGTCCAACCACCACATCGTGTTAAGATCACCACGACGTGGTCTTCCAGGTTGAAGACTTCTTTAATTTTTATCCATTTTCCCGCTTCCAGCTCCGCAATAGCTTTCCTTTTGATCCCGAGCATGTCTTTGCTACTACAAAACATATTTTAAACAAATTAAGTACCTTTTATTTTATAATGAGCATAAATGTAGCAAAAAGTATGAAAATAATGCATGAATTATATAACTAAATATGCACATATCAAAATATTGGTTTATGTTTAAATGGAAATATATATATATTTTTTAAAAATTCGTATTATACATTAAAATATATAATTTAAAGGACGTGGTATTAACAAGACAACACTGAGGCCACGTCACATCCTAATATGACCCTTAGGAGGTAGTAAGTTTTCAAGTCTTAAAGAAAATGTTTTGTGTTGGATTGAATTAAAAAGATTGGTTAATGACATGTAAGAGTAATAAATTTTTTATAATTATATATATTTAATCACTAATTTTTTTGTACACTATGTATTTTCCAACTTGTTCAAATTGATAAAAAAAAAAGTACTATTATAACCGACAAGACTTATTATACTCGGTTATATTGATATATTTTAAACAATTTAAACAAGTTGAATGGTAAATCACGTCCAAAAAAATTAATGGATAAATATGTACAATTACAAAAATTAATTAAATTTTCAAATGATTAACCTTTTTTTTAGGAATACATATCCGCCTTTAATCAATATAAATATATTAACGGACGGCGTGTTAGTCGATAATATATACTTACGCCATCTTAAGAAAAAGTATATGGGTTAAATATATATGTGTCGTGAATGTAGGAAAAATAAATAAAAGGGAGTGTTTTGATTCCTTTCAGAAGCAAAGAGAAAGTGGCACCTTTGCGTGAGGAACTAGTAATTTTATTCCATTTGCATGTCGACCTCCAATTTTCTACTTGTTTCTTTTCTATCACATATATTTTCTTAACATATTTTAAGTCGTTGAATAAGTGAAGATAAAACCATTGTAATACCATATGCATTTCCTTAATTATCTTTGTCAAATTCAATTAACTCATGATTGAAATAATTTCACAGCCACGCTAAAAAAAAAACTAAATCACTTCAAAATTAAAATAAAAGTGATCTGAGGTTTTAAAGGGTAATTAGAATGATATTTTAGTCAAAACCACTAGCATTGTTTTGTTTGTTTATAACGTAGGTTTCGTAAAATTAAAAGTCAACGGTAGAATGTGTCAAAAACGATAATTTTAAAGCCTACTATGACAAAAACAATAAAAAATCTTCAAATCCGCGAAACAAATAAGGCAATGGCTGATTAGGGGTGTTCACGGGGCGGTTCGGTTCGGATAGTAATAAAATTGTGAACCGTGACCAAGGGGCGGGTACCTTAAATGCACTAACCGAAACCGAACTGAAATGATAAAAACCCCGAACCGAACCGAACCGTGTAAAGGCGGGTAATCATGGTTCGGTTCACGGATACCCGCTAAATACAAAAAAATAAAAATCAATCAAAGCTATAAAGTCCATTTTAGTCATGCTTTCTGAAAATTAAATAGACAGACATAAAACATACTTGTGATAAGTTGATAAATATGATAATGTTGATAAAAAAAAACATATATACACACTTTATAGTTTATAGTTAATAATTTAAGGATAGTGTCATGCCAGTTATGATCCTAATTTCCGTGTGTTTTGTATATGCATTGGAACGCATCTTTAATTGTTTCCTTGTTTTCTTGACATATCTATTTGAAATTAGACATCGAACAAAATTCATTTATATATATATATATATATATATATATATATATATATATATATATGACGGTTCGGTTCGGGTATCCGCGGATATCTTAATATCAAAACCGAAACCGACCCGTAGGTACCCGGTTTTTTCGGTTTTGGTTTTTTTTCGGTTTTGATTTGTTTCGGTTTCGGTTTTTTCGGTTTCGGATTGGCCGGATTGGCTCGGTTTTTCGGTTTTGCGGTTTTTATGCACACCCCTATGGCTGATCCTTGACTTTTCTCTAATTTGGGTAAATTACACCAATAACACTACACTTTCGTTTATAATACTCCGCCCCCACAAGTATATCTTAGATATATAACACACACAGAACCCGTCACACAACTTCCGTGAATTACGATTACAACCCCCTTATATGTCCTAAGTTCAAAATTATATATAGTATACAATTGTCGCCAATTTGTCTTGGTTTTGTTCTATCATGCGCCAATTATCCTACTTCCGATTTACTGTTAATTTAGGGCATTTACATTCCATTGAACTCTATAGATTGTCATACCATTCATTAAACACTTATACAACAACTCCCACAACCCATTAAATACCTATTCAACCCTAGTCACCATTTTATTCCTTCTACTAAACCATTCAATGATCATTCAATTCTACTGTATGTCATCACTCACATTCCATTCAATTCTTATTCAATCCTAATCAACACACTATTTAACTCTTATACTACTTGCATTGTGGATGTTCTTAGAGGTTTTCTATCATATACCATCTAAGTTACAAAACTGGTCCCCATAATCTTCTTCTACTATACATATGAGAGGGGACAACGACGATAGATCTGACGCCAATAAGTTGCGACGTGGCATGAGATCGGAATCGATCAACAATATATATTATTTAGAAAACCTTTTGGGCTTTTGGGATAGATGAAAACTATTGTTTTTCTTGTAATGAATTAGCTAATAGTAGAAGGGGTTAAAGTGTAAATTGACTAGTTTACTTTATTTTATTATTATTATTTTTTTTTTAAAGGCACATTAGATGATTAGAATCATGAGATGACTAGATTACTATAAATATAAAGCAAGAGATAGCCATCAACTTTGTTAGTGAAGCAACCGCAATATGCGTATGTAATTATAGATTTGTTTTTTCAACTTCGATCCCAATTACACTCTCTACCACCATAATTTTCCATGAAGGTTCATGCCATTAATGAAGGCAAAATACAGCTTTCAACAAGAAGAAAGACCTCTTCAAAGATAGCCCATCTTGTTGCCCTAGCCCTAATTGTCACCATCATCCCCATTTATTACCCTTATATACATTACATTCTTGAGAAATCAACTGCAATTCCGTCACCTATAGATAATCTTTTAAATGTCCAAACCACCACAACTCTCTCCCACCACCACCCTATCTACCGTAGCCACATCATTCCCACCACCCAAAAAGATGACGATGATCCCAAATTGGTGGTTGTACCACCGGAGAAGAAAGAACACAGGAAGAGAGGGAGGAGAAAGAAGGGGAGGAGGGAGGCAGTGTTGAAGAGGACGGGTGGTGATGGTGATGGTGGTGGTGGTAGTAGTAACAAGTCGTGTGATTTGTTTTCCGGCGAATGGGTGGAGAATCCAGAGGGGCCTTATTATACGAATACCACGTGTTGGGCAATACAAGAACATCAAAATTGTATGAAATTTGGGAGGCCGGATCAAGATTTCTTGAAATGGAGATGGAAACCTAATGACTGTGAACTTCCGGTTCTTGATCCAGTGCAGTTTCTGGAGATGATGAGGGGAAAGTCTCTTGCATTTGTTGGTGATTCTGTAGCAAGAAATCATATGCAATCTCTTCTTTGCCTCTTGTCAAGGGTATGTTTGTCTTTTCACCCTCTAACATTTTCTAATATTTGTCCACGTATCCATGAATTAGACATCATATTGTATGCACTACCATTATATATTTAATTATATGTTACCCTACGAAAAACTAGATAAAAAATTATGCAGCATTACAATAAGTAATGAAATTATATACATTTTATTATACATAATTTATGGAAACTTATAATTTTCATCACATAATTTATAGTCACAAGTGTTCAGATAAACAAATTCATCATACTTAAAAAGACAAATTGCATTAAAAAGAAAGGTACTTTCATTTAACTATTCTTTAACTGAACAAATTTTCAAAAACAAGTTTATGTGTACATATGCTTAGTGTTTAAACGAAATAAGGGACCATTTAGATAAAAAGAAATTGACATTTGCAAATTAACCAGGTCACCCGCTCATTTGGTAACCATGTCGCTTATTTGATTATAGATTATAATATGGACCTTTAAACATGTTATAAGTATATAACCGACTCCATAAAATTTGACCTTTATTTTAGTAACTTTAATTCTACATACCGTAATTTTACACTTGATTAATTTTGTGAATACTCTAGTACAAATTCTCTACATAAAGTTAGCAATTTAGCATATATTCCTTGTGGTGAATCTAATGCTGAGACATAACATAAGGACTCTTGCTTAATTGGAGAAATCAATAAATTACGTGTTCTACAAGTGAACTTCTTTATAAAATAATTAAATTAACTTGACACCAAATAAATTGTGTAATGGATCTTCTTTCATATGCAATATTTTTGAAAATGGAATATCATAAAACTATTATATAAGAGTTTAATGCAAAAATAACAATGAACTTTTATTTATTCCATATCAAAAAAGTTAACATAACTAATCAACTAAACCGATATTACCAACAATTATTACCATAATGGGATAAAAGAAATTGATTAGGGTGCACATAGTTGTGCCGGAAGAGTGTGGGATGGCTTGTGGTAGCAGTGGTACCACATGGAACATCATTCCATCCCCAGTATTATGGAATACGAAACTTCTCATTGATTTGCCATGATACAATACATGAAACATATATACTACTATGTTTTGGGATAACATAGGGCCTAATATAGATTCGGGCTACATACATGGCTATACATGCAAATACATACACGACATACATAATAACACATATACTAATATTTCTCGTAGTTTTATCAGACGGTATAGAACGAAAGTTTAAACTGGAACGAAAACCATGAAATAGTGTAGTCAGAAGGCCCTTGGTGAAGATATCAACATATTTAGTTGTTGAAGGGATGTGAAAAACTCTGATATAGTCGAATACAACCTTGTCTTGGACAAAGTGGACGTAAATGTATATATGGGTGTTGAATCGAGTTACAAGACATATAAGTCGAGTTGACATTATCATAATAGACAATAGTCGCTTTACTCGTGGAACAATATTTAAACTCCAATAAAAGATTGTGTAACCATGAAGTCTCAATTATGGCATTCACGACACCATGATATTCTCCACTACATTGGATCTAGATATGACACCCAGACCTTGGAGGACTAGGAAATGAGATTGTCACCGAGGAATACATAGTAACCTAAGGTGGAGCAACATATATCTGGGTATCCGCCCCAATCAACGTTTGAGTATGTGGCGAGAGAGTCAGTAGAAGATAGATGCATTTGTAACCTATAATCAACGGTGCCTCGAATGTAACAGACGATACACTTGAGAGCATGAAGGTGTTGATCTTGGGGATCGTGCATATAGATGCATATCTTCTGAACTGCAAAAAAGAAATATCTAGTGTGGTAAAAATAAGGTACTGAAGTGCACCAACCATACTGTGGAAAAGAGTTGGGTCCACAACTAGAAGGCCAGATGAGTCCATTTTATAGACAGGTCTTGTTAGTCTACGATCGGTGTTGCAATTCATCATATGGGAACGCTCAAGAATATTGGTGGCATATTTCTGTTGTGAAAAAAATACGCCACTAGAAGATCTAACTACAAATATACCTAAAAATTAATTTAGAGCACCAAGGTCTCTTGTAGCAAACTCATGTATGAGCTAAGAAATAATATGATGTAGCATAACTATGGAAAAAGCTTTGAGTATAATATCATCAAAATAAAGTAAAAGATATGTCATAGCATGGAAAGTCTAAATAAGGAATAACGAGGAGCCTATAAAATTATACTTAAACCCGATAGCGGTAGGCTAGTGGCATGCTAAGCAAACCTGTGGAACCAAGCTGTAGGTGCTTGCTTGAGACCATACAAAGATATCAAAGGATGACATACACATGATCTGGATACTGTGGATCTCCGAATCTCGGAGGCTTATGCATGTAAATAATCTCTTGAAGGTGACAGTGAAGAAAAGCATTCTTCATGTCTAGCTGATGAATGGGTCAGTTGCGAGACACTACAAGAATAATACAAATCGTATCTGGTTTGACAAACAAACCAAAGGTCTCCTCAAAGTCTATACCCTACTGCTAATTATGACCATTGGCGAAAAGGCGAGCCTTGTAGTAAGAGAAATAGAGAGAGAGAGAGAGAGAGATGAAACCCATGACAAAAAAGCCATATAGAACGAACAATTTTGACCCCCGGAGGTCGTTGTACTATAGTCTAAGACTCATTTGAAATAAGAGCATTATATTCATCATGCATAGTCTGTCGCCAGTTAGGGTCCTAAAGAGTCTGTAAGTGTGATTGTGGGATGGGGTACACAGATGAAATGTGAATATTACGATGTTGAATGGTTTGACTATCATATTACATGTACGAGTAGTCGTTGGGCAAGTTGGTGTTGTGTGTGAGTGGGAACCGAATGGCAACGATGAGAGTGATTTTTCCTGGTTAGATTTAAGGGAAGGGGTTGACAGTAGTGTCAGGTGTACGGAATGGATCTGGTGTAGTAAAAACAAAGGATAGGTGGAATCCGATATAAAGGAATCAGTACTGGGTAGGGAGTTGGTTTCGGTTTGATGATGTGACCAAACCTAAGGAGATATGGCAAGCATGTTATCTAGGAAAGTGTATGATTGGGTTCAGTTGGATTTACCGAATGGAAGGGAAATGTGTTTTTTTCCAAAGCAACATGACGTGAGATGATGGTATTTTGAGAGGTCAAGTCAAGGTAATGGTTCCCATGATGATATGATGGGTAGCCAAGAAAGATGTAAGGGTTATAGCAAGGAAAAAGCTTATGTAGATATTGTATGTAAGGGAAACACTGGAACCCAAAGATATAAATGTGTGAATAAGTTAGATGTTGTTTGTTTAATCGGAAGTATGATGTTTCATTTTTGACCGATAAGGATGGTAAAATGTTGAGAAGGTAGGTTGCCATTTGAAAGGCTTCAAACTGGTATCTGGGTGGGAATGATATTGAAAGATAAGGGTTTGAATTATATTGTTTATGGTACAAAGCATGAGTTCAGATTTCATGTTTTGTTGGGAGGTCATGAGAAAAGAAAATGAATAGCATTTTTGGCAAAGCATTCATGAAATTGTTGATTGATATATCCCCCCTACGCCCGGTTGTTAGATTGCAAATATTGTAATGGCGGTTCCAAATTATATTTTGATTAAAGTTGTGTATTCAATAAATTTGGAGAAAACGTTCTATTTTCATTTTAGAGCATAAGCCCAAAGGTAATATGTGAAATGGTCCAAAATGGCATAATAATGTAAGACACTCAAGACTAAGATAAGTGGTCCAAACATCGGAATGAATAATTTCAAATGCATTAGAAACAACCAAATCAGAAAGCATAATGGAAGTCTAATGTGTTTGCCTAATTAGCATGTTGAACAGACAATATTTAACAAACTATTATTACATGAAACTAAACTGTTCGAAACTAAAAGTTCAAAAGTTTTATTTTCGAGATGGCCAAGATGCAGGTGCCAAAGAAAAGGGCTTGTATAGATAAAATATTGAGGCTGTGAATGACCAGGTAGAAAGGACCATCACTCTCACATTTGATTTGATGTTTTCGTGTGCTATAATCCTTGATAGTAAAACCAAACTCATTAAACTCAGTAGAACATTTATTTTGATATACTTTTCATACAACAATGGGATTTTTTTATTATTGAAGGGATAACAAGGACTTATTCAAATGAAATGGTCGATATGGATTTTTGATTGGAAAAGATGTTTGTGTGGTCATAGTTACATGTATTTTGAACCCATCCCAACTACTATATGATGATAGTTATGATAATTACAAATGAATCAAGGATACCTGCTTTGGCGTGTACATGATTGGTTGCATCTGTGTCCGTAATCCACTCAACGGTTCTTGTAAAGGTATAGAGCTAAATATTTTAGGAAATGTGGTGGGTTGTTGATTCGTACCAAACTAGGCTCAAGGGGGAGGAAGAGGCTTGTTTTATGTCTGTCTAGTGGGTGATGTTGGGTTCACGGAAACATAGGTTGTTGATTGGACGGTGGGAAGAGACGGTGGAGGTCCAAGTAATCACTCTTAAGGTCTAGCGCATGAGTATTGTTGATTTTAAGTTGGGTATAAAAAGGAATTGAGGTTGTTGTTGATGGACGAAAGGAACCATCACTCATCCGTACCGGTAGAAACCTTAATGTGCGACGTTGTTATCGTCGGTGGTTGTTATCATCAGTTGGCTGCTTTGTTGTGGTTATTTGGCTCTCGACGATTATGAAGACGAGGATTTTATGGTGCATCATTACTTCCGATATACATAATGGACTGAGAGGACGAGTGGTCGACGTTAGTTGATGGTGGAGGGGTACGGACAACCAAGAGGCGTTGTTCTTCAGGAAACAACATGGAACGAGTTTCTTGAAATTAGGGCATGGGTTTGTTGTGGCGTATGATGGTAGAAATATACTCGAAGCTAGGTGACAAACCATTAATCATGTAGTTAATGAGGTGTCTGTCTTTCACCTTAAATTTAGCATCAATATTTTTCGAGTAGAGCTGCTAGGTTTTGAATTTTGG